TGGCATGAGCACAACCGTAAAGCCGGTGGGCATTTAATTTATTCATGAGATGCATTAATAAAGAAATGCTGCGATCGAAATTTAAAAGTGTAATCTCAGATGCGGCGCAACTTCAATGAATCAGTGACTCTTCTGTAAAATGGTTTCTACTTCAAATGTCGTTCGCGTTGCTCTTCGAGAGGTTTCTAATGAAAATAATCAAAATAGCAGCAGCACAATTCATGGGATTTTTTTTTACTTCTGATCACGTGACACAACACGATAGAGGTCAAAGTTCGCAACATCCGGTTTCCAGCTTTACGGTTGTGCTCCTGCCAAGTCGCTCGATCGCAATGAGTTTTAATTTGACAAATATTCAAGTGCAAATGCAATTGTGTCACTTTCTAATGCCATCCATGTCATTACAGATGCCATATATGTAAAGAAAACGAACTTTGAAAGGTTCGAATGCGTGATTTTATGCCACAGTCCTGGAGTGTTTCAACCCTTGGGATAATTTCCTATAATAGGGTGTGTCTACAACTCGCGTTAAAATTTGGATATAACATTAGCGCGTAACAAAGTTGTGATGAAGGAAAGAGTGGTATAAACAAAGATCGGTGATTACTTGAAATCGATACCAGGAAGTGGGGTAAAAGAAAAGTTATATAACATTTTATTATTTAATAATTTATTAAAATACAAAGTTTGTCCAACTCCCTGTGAACAGACCTCTCTTAGATTAGTTCATTTCGTGGTGATATCTTTAATTCTCTAATTTTAGTGAATATTTTTGTAATTATTGGTAAAAAGTGATATTTTCGACTTCTTGTTAAAAACCACAAGTCTGATTGCTTTTATATTACATATATAGGTACTACATGTGGACCTCTCTCAGATTTTTTTATTTCGATGATATCTTCAATTATCTAATTTTGATGATTATTTTTGTCTTTCTGGTGAAAAACAGCAAGTCTACATATTGTTCATTTTCTAATGATATCTTCTGCTCTTTAATTGAAATGTGCATTGCTAACAGCGGAGCTATCTCAGCCGACTGGCTGCTTGTTTTGTTATTAATTTTGTTTTCTCACTTTCCTCGTATATTATATATTGGCGTATATAATGCATGGACTCCAGTAGACAACTGTATCTGTTGGAAGCTGAGCTTTCTTAATACACATTGGCCCATCCAGTTAATTTTCCAAGACTATATTTTCCAGAAATGTTCAGGTCAAGGTCTTTTCAAGGTTTATGTGTTTGCTGCTTTTATATGGGCGATACTAAACGGTGAGGGTGGGAGGGACTAAAACATCCTCCCAAAAGGCCAGGTCAGAGTCATCACAAGGCCTCGTGTCAGGATCATCTCAAAGTTCACATGTTGATTGCATGTGTCTCGATTGTCAGGAGGTCACCTCTCATTCAAGATCTTTCAAAGAAAGTTCAAGGTCATCCCAAGATGACATGCCACTTTGTCATATTGTCTAACTTTGTCATTCTCAATTCAGTCGCATGCATATATTCTGGTAATTGTGACAAATCATGTTTCAGCTTCAATTTCCTGTACACCCACATCATCAATTATACATATCCATGCACTATATACACAAATACAAACATGTATCCTCTCAAGGAACAATTGCCACAACTACTAAACTGTCATAGATTATTATCCACCTAGTAAATGCCACTGCCCTTCAGCATGTGTCAATTACAGCAAAGCTCTACTAACCACAGGGTCGCTTGTATTAAATATTTATATATATATATATATGTTTCTTTGGTTAAAAATAAGAATTTTCAACTGATTTTTTCATAAAAATTGGATATTAGTGAAAATGCTTATTATAGTAAAAATAACTCAAACCATTTTGGAAATCTTTATCACTGAAATGTGTCAACAAAGTTGAATTTTGTTGGGACAATGAAGTGAGTTTACAAATTTATTACAATCTGGCCAAATGAACTTGTTGGACTCAGCAATACAAGTTTATACTGCTGATGTTAATTAAAATATCATTTGAGCGCCTTTAACTAAGTGTTAACCATTGTTTTCATTGTGTAGTATGAATCATTTTTTGACGGCAAAATGTAAAAGTAGTGTACTTTTCTTGACAGAACATTTTCTACTATTTTTAGCTTCAGTATACTGTTATTTAATAATTACTGTTTATTTATTGTGTTATTCTATTGTATTAGGAACGTTGAGAATGATAATATACATGTAGCATTAATTGAGAATTGTGCATATTTTTTAATTTTATTAATACATTTTTCATGTAATATAATTTTCGGTCATTGTTTACTCTTTAATTTTATCAAATTTATTTCTCTGCAAA